GCGATTCTGGAGCAGTAAGTGTATGTTGTGTAATTGGCAATGACCAGGTCTCACGCTAAGCTCAAAAGCCAAGGACAAGCTAACAAATCAACGGCAGCTTGTGCAGCCAAACCAGCACATGCTACAAAACACAGATACTCTGAGTCTCTGCTCCTTCCAAGATCCTGCTAAAGCCTCATCATTCTGCTACACTGAGGAGGAGCCAGCCACCTCACACCAGACCTCCTGATCAAACCTTGGCAGATCGTTGCTAAATCTCGCTTATTTGAAACACTGAATGTGACCTTTTGATTGCACCAACAAATCCTCTCTCAGTGTTTATTGTGTTTGGAGGCTGCTGCTTGTGAGAATGTTATCGTTCCAGTGCTGCTGTCAAAAAAGTCCAGCAGATATAATACTGGGATACTAGGAGCTGACTCTACCCTAGTGAAAAATAAATATGCTAAAATGTATTTGAAATGCATTTATTTCATGCTAAATACTACTATACATTTATTTGTGGACTTACCCTGTATTGTACTTTTGGTATACTAAACGGGTATACTTAAGTCTGCTAAATTGTAAACTAATTTTCGTCCTTAATGTACTTTAATTGTGCAGAAGTGGTGCTGAAGTCCAACTAAAGATATACTTAAAGGGATAGTTCACCCAAAAATGATGTTTTGATGTTTATCTGCTTACCCCCAGGGCATCCGAGATGTAGGTGACTTTGTTTCTTCAGTAGAACACAAACGATTTTTAACTCGAACCGTTGCAGTCTGTCAGTCATATAATGGAGGTGAATGGGAATCACGGCTTTGAGAGTCAAACAAACATACACAAACAAAACCAAATTAAACCCTGCAGCTCGTGACGATACATTTATGTGTAAAGACACGAAACAATCAGTCTGTGCAAGAAACTGAACAGTATTTATATCGTTTTTTACCTCTGATTCACCGCAATGTCCGAACTGTCCTGAGCACGTTCTCAACAACCGACGTGTGACGCATCTTCTTCTTGCTTTACGGCGGATCGCACACTTATAAGTGCGTAACCGCCACCTATCTCTCAAATGGACCATTGACGCTCCTAATTGAGATTGTAGATAGAGTGTCAATGGTCCATTTTGAGTGCTCAGGACAGTTCGGACATTGCGTGAATCAGAGGTAAAAAACGATATAAATTTTCAGTTTCTTGCACAGACCGATCGTTTCTTGTCTTTACACATCGATGTATCATCACGAGCCGCAGGGTTTTGTGTATGTTTTTTTGACTCTCAAAGCTGTGATTCCCATCCACTTTCAGTTTCTTGCACAGACCGATCGTTTCTTGTCTTTACACATCGATGTATCATCACGAGCCGCAGGGTTTTGTGTATGTTTTTTTGACTCTCAAATCTGTGATTCCCATCCACTGACATTATATGACTGACAGACTGCAACGGTTTGAGTTAAAAATCTCCGTTTGTGTTCTACTGAAGAAACAAAGTCACCTACATCTTGGATGCCCTGGGGGTAAGCAGATAAACATCACATTTTCATCTCTGGGTGAACTATCCCTTTAAGTATATTTGTGTGTGCTAAAGTGGAACTATTGCAAGTATACTTCAGGTACACTCTAAATATCTTGTGTTTAAAGATCGCTATTATTCAAAGATCATACAGTCCTCATCAATAGTGACATCAAAACACATTTTAGGCTTAATATTAAGAAATGTGCATTGTACACAAGTAGTACTCCAAATAAAGAATTATCATTTTTATATCCGTAAGTCTCGAGCGATATGTCAGTAAATATGTTAATAGATTTGAACTATATTTGGTAAGAAATAAATGTATTTTAAATACAGGTATATCACTTTTTTACTAGGGTAGTTAGAAACTGTAAGACACTGTAGAGACACAGTCAAGGGCGACTTGAAAAAAAAAGATTGTAATTTTGACAGTAAAACACTGTTAAAGGCGTTACATTAAAAACCTGTTAACTGGTTAATGGTTAATTTCACATTTATATGATGAAGAATTGTAAGCAATAGGACATTTCAGGAAATTTTACAGTGCATACTGTTAAATCTACAGTTTTGGAAGTGAAAAGGTAATTTACTTTTATAAGTTACAGTGTATATTATGAAAAGCACTATACAAATAAATGTGAATTGAATTGAACTGAACAGTGAAAACCTGTAATTTGACATTCCCAGAATTCCCTGTGTGTTACCTCACATTTTATGGTCTTTCACTGAAATAACTGTAAAGAAAGAAAAAAAAGTAAACAGACGAGAAAGTAGAAGGAAAAATAAGGAATAACTATTGGTAAAAAATATTATGTTTTCAAAGGAAAATTTCACTTGCATAATTGTATTAAATTTGTTTTTGAATTGAAAGACATAATAAAGTATAAAAAAAATAACTATCAGTTATGTACATTTGAGTTTTATATTACATCTTGTGGTGTAATATAAAGTAATATGTATTGCATTATTTTGTTGTGCGTATGACACCGACCACCCTCCATATATTAGTATTTACTTCAGCTTGTGGAAAAGTTATTTGTGATGAACTTTGATTCATCATGGGACTTTCTCTTTATGTTTTATGGTGATTGTCTGTATAATATAAAGGTAAATAACACATTTTAGTAACTTGGTATATTAGCATTATTTCAGTTTTTACTGTAAATTTAATTTCAATCTGTAAAACTAGGTGGTTGCTTGGCTTGACAGAAGAACAGAACAGCCAGCAGAAGAGAAAGCGAGAAAGAAAAGGAGATCTTTGTGCGCTGAAACAAGGCTTTTGGCAGCAGGCTTGTGAATGGCAGCTGTGGCTCTGAGAGGGATTAGGAGCTTCATCTGCTGCATTCTGGAGACTCCAGGATCAGGTGGCTCTTGTTTGTGCCTTCAGCTTCTCGAGGAGTGGGAGAAGAGCGGAGGAAATCACATTTCAAGAGGCACAGATCTGATCTAAAGAGCTGAGCTCCAGCGGACCCAAAACATCACCACAAAATCTGCTCTCAGATAATCAATAGCTTGTATTGAAAAAACTGCTTGTAAAAGTGTAATCTAGCAGATACTAACATTTTAAACGGATAGTTCCTGTTCTGGATGTTGATTGGGTAATACAGCATTAGTTGTGCTATTGGAGCTCATGGAGCTGGTGTAGAAAAATCCACAAATGGAGCTCATGATCTTTAATTCGAAAAAGCATTGAATCATTTTTCCATTCATTTAATTGATTGTTTTTCCACGTTTCTTGTCATTTTTTACTTTAGTACTGTATATCCCTCTTTAAAAGGTTTCCATGATTTAAATGCCTGGCTATTTTCTCTCCGATGTCAGTATATTAGATGAGACCATTTTAGTATACATTGTTTTTACTTGTGCCTTATTTCTAACGCAATGCATAACAGCATAAATTCAGCATGAGCTCTGCATTCAGTCTGGAGAACAAAACACTAATGAGCTGCTGGAGGAGAGAACTTTGAGAAAGCATGTTCTTTAGAATAGAATTGAATTGGAAATCTTTATTGTCACACGATGAAAGTACTGGATGTTGTTGTAAGTATTTACAACAAAGGCTTTTTGCAGTTTTGGTTCAGATTATTACAGTCATATTGATACAAATGCCACGAAATCTTAAAAGACTTTCATATTTGCATTTGTTTTTTACATTTAAATTAATACTTTTATTTAGTAAGGACACATTGAATTGATCAAAAGTGACAGAAAAGACATTTATAATGTTACAAGAGATTTCTATTTTTAAAAAATGCTGTTCTTTTTAATTTTCAATTCATCAAAAATATGAAGCAGCACAACTGTTTTCTACACTGGTAATAATCAGAAATGTTTCTTGAGCTGCAGATATTAGAATGACCATGTGACACTGAAGACTGGAGTAATTATGCTGACAATTCAGCTTAAATTACATAAAAAAATTGTACAATTTTAAATTGTAATAACATTTCATAATATTATATTAATATTTTTACTGTATTTTTCGCCACGTAAATGCAGCCTTGGTGAAAACATTTCATTGAAGCATTTAACAAAACTGCTGATCTGTTATGCATTATTGTTTGCTGATGTCATTAATATGCATTTTTATTAACTGATATAATGATAATATACCAACCCACTGAAGTACTAATATCTGTTTTGTACCTTTGTAATACACTGATAACCACCAATGGTGATGAAAATGTCACATGAGGAAACAAAACTCATCACAAACAGCTTTTATACAAGCTGAGGAGGGAAATACTTTTATATAGAAGCTGACAGTGTCATTCAATGAAAAACTAAACACCATGTAACACACATGATACTGAAATAATGCAATACACATTCATTCAACAACATTAGATGTGAGATAAAACCCTAATCTGCATATCTGAGAAGAAAAACAACTATGAAGAAACAGTTATTTCAATGAAAAAACATAAAATGTCAAATGTATGCAGGGAATTCTGGGAATGCCAATTTACGGTTTTCACTGTAACTAAATTATACAATGTGTTCTTTTTCACTTCCAAAAAACGTGATTTTAACAGTACTTTACTGTAAAATTACATTAAATGTAATCACAGTTATGCGCCACATATAGTAGCTACAGAAACTTACTGTTAACCAATTAACAGGTTTTTACTGTAGCATCTTTACAGTATTTTACTGTTAAAATCATATTCATAATCGATAAACAAGAGATAGAGATTTACAATTTCTATTTCAAATAAATGCTGCTCTTTTGACTTTTCAATTCATCAAGGAATCCTGAAAAAACAATGTAGCTTCCACAAAAAATGTGAAGCGGCACAACTGTTTTCTACACTGGTAATAATCATAAATGTTTCTTGAGCTGCAGATATTAGAATAACCATGCGACACTGAAGACTGGAGTAATTATGCTATAGACATAATCATATATAAAGCATATTTACATATCGCAAAAACACTTCAGTTTGTTTTTAATACTGTAGTGTCATGCGCTGATGATCTGTGGAGTGCGGTGATGCGAGGAGAGGAGGGCTCTAGGACCTGAGTGAAACCCGCCACAGAGAGAGAGAGAGAGAGTTCACTGCGCACGGCTTCATCATCATCATCATCACCGACAGCGCATTACACACGGAGCTCAGAGCCGCTCATGATGCGCAGGATTCGGGCCAACGCCATCCTCATCCTCACCGTGGCCTGGATCCTCGGCACCTTCTATTACCTGTGGCAGGACAGCAAACCTTCCTCCTCCTCCTCCTCCTCCTCCTCGGGCTCCCAGCTGAAGAACCACGGGAGGCTGGAGGAGCGCACTCTTCCTCTGATCGTGAGTGATGATGATGATGATCACTGCTGTAATGCATGCGTTTATCTATGTTCTGATATATGAAGCGTGTGTGTGTGTGTGTGTGTGTGTGTGTGTGTATCAGCGTGATGTCAGGTGCATGTAAGAGGCTTTTCCTTAATCCAGATGCAGGTGTGTGTGTGTGTGTGCGTGTGTGTGTGTGTGTGTGAGATCCATGTTTCCTTTGTTAGGATTTAACCTACTATAAACCCTTGTCCCTTATCAGTAACTAATCCAATAGAAATCTAATTATCATTTGTTCACATTGGGATTTCAATTCAAATTTGGAACTAGTTCTAACAGATTGTAATGAGGTTTTTTTTATTATAGATGCCAGCATTCCAAAAACTAGATATTTTAGATCACATAATTAAACATAAAATGTTCAAACTTCACCCTGTATAGCCTGACACATGAAATAATACTAGTCAGAAAAATCTAGTTTTGAAATGAACCTTTAGATAAAAAATATATATACGGTAAAAGAGTTTGCATATGTTTCTTGTTGAGTATCATATTTGACACATCAGGCTCATCTACGTAGTATGATAGAGTGAGAATATGGAGGGGGGAAAAAACAGTTCAGTTTTATACAAACTAAGCAAAAATATGTAATTTGGTGCGCATGTTAATATATTTAGAGTAAGATGAAATTCTGATAGCCAGCCTGTAATGTAAAATTTATAACAGTATAGCAGATACTGACATAAAATTATATAAATATCATAAATATGTTGATTGTGTGCAACAGGTTTTTGATCATGTTGATCATTTAGAAGCCTTAGAAATTTGATACAGTAGGCTTTATGGGCTAATTAATTCATATAAAATACTACCCAACCTGACTGATGATATACAACCGGTGTTGATATTGTTGAAAGATCTGCTTCTAATATACCGCTTGGAATGATTGTGAGTCATCTGTGCTTGTTTTGCTCCTCACAGTTTGACTCCACATTCATCAGGTAGAGTGCAAACGCTCCTCAGACGTCTGCTGGCTTGTAAAAAGAAGGTGTAATATGCAAAGTATTATGATTTCTATCCAAATGACTCTATACATGCAGAAAAGTCACAGAATCAGTGCGTGCATGTGTCAAACCTCAGGAGAGGCGTCCCCTGAACTGTGTCCTGAGCTCCAAGGCAACAGAGCATCACTCTGTATAAAGCACCAAAAACACATCGGCGCTGGAGCCTTGGAGCAGAAGAACTATACGTCTGTCTTAGCACATGGATTTTTTTACCACTGGTTTCATAATAATTACAGCTCATTCTGGAAGCCCTGATTTCCCCCCGATATACAGTCTGGAGAAGCTGACGCTCTTGCTGAAAAATAGAGCCGTTCTGCAGATTTGTGTTGACAGATTTCATCGAAAATTGCGTAGTGTATGATGGCTAGTTTTTCTTCTGTGACTATTTAGAAAATCGATGCCCAGTGTTTCAAAATCTGTTCATGTATTCCAGCCTTTAGGTAAAATGGACTGTTCAATGGCCAATTCCACAAACACTGATCTCTATATCATCACCTTTAATGAGTTGGAGGGCTAATATAATGCCGATACATATTTCTATGTATTATATATTCTATTTATTTATATTGGCTAATGCAGTTTAATTACAGCAACTGTGATGTACAGATATGTGCTGAAATGTAATGGAAAATATTTTCATACAAAATTTACAAAAAACATATTAAATAATTCAATATTTGACAAAAAAAATAAATAATTAGCCACAATTTTGTGATGATAATAATAACAATAATAATAATGGTGTCATTATTAGTAAATAAAAATATAAAAATGACTGAACAAACAAAAATATTACTATATTTCACTGAGTATTTAAGAAAAATAATATAGTAGTAGTAGTAGTGACAATAATTTTATTTTACAGTACAACATTGCAGTTGCAATACTAATTTGTATGGCTCTTTTAATTTCTTAATTATCAAATATTAAACCGTCAAACTTTTATTTTGTCCGAGGAAGCCCTTTTTTATTAATAAAATATTTAAAAATACGCTGAAAAAAATGATTGACTGAATTTACTAAATGTTTTAAGGTATGTGGTTGCAATCAATTTATTTTAGCTACATTTAAATAAACCAATTTAGTTGAATAACTTTTTTTTTTTTAAGTATTTAAATGCAATATTTTGCAACCACTTACCTTACCGTTTTTCTCAATTGCTAACACACTATAACGGATTCGTTTGGCACAATTTTCCAAACCATTCATACAGTTCCTGAAACAAAGACACGTTTCTCAAAACTTTGAACCCATTTCACCTGTTTTCATACACGCTCAGTGTTTTCAGCTCAACTCTACACAAGAACGGCATCATTTTGCACAGGTTTAACCATGTTCTCATTTAGAAAACACAAACACACAATATAGCTACCTCAAGAATCACAATATAAACTCAAACAGCCCACATTTAGCCATGTGTGAACGTTACTGTAAGTAGCAAAACTGATGACACACAGGTCAGAATCTCAGGATGATATAAAAAGGAGCACAGGTGATTATGTGATTTTGAAAATGAATCCTAATAGTGGGAGACAAAGAGGAAGAGGAGGGGAAAAGAAAACTGAAGGGGACGGGGGTCAAAGGACATTTATTCCTGATGAAATACACAGACAGTGCTGTAGTTGATCGTGTTCTTGTGCATGAGGACAGCTGGATAGAATCCTGATTGCATCTCTTGTAAGAATCGTTTTTTAAGCTGAAAGAAGTGGAGACTCAAGCTGTGAGCTGGAGATACAGCGTGAAGCACTCATGCGCTGAGAGAGAGCGACCTCACTTTCCATTTCTGAAGAAAGCGGAAACAGAGGTGAAAATCCCTCTGACAAAGACACGTTTCTCAAAACTTTGAACACATTTCACCTGTTTTCATACACGCTCAGTGTTTTCAGCTCAACTCTACACAAGAACGGCATCATTTTGCACAGGTTTAACCATGTTCTCATTTAGAAAACACAAACACACAATATAGCTACCTCAAGAATCACAATATAAACTCAAACAGCCCACATTTAGCCATGTGTGAACGTTACTGTAAGTAGCAAAACTGATGACACACAGGTCAGAATCTCAGGATGATATAAAAAGGAGCACAGGTGATTATGTGATTTTGAAAATGAATCCTAATAGTGGGAGACAAAGAGGAAGAGGAGGGGAAAAGAAAACTGAAGGGGACGGGGGTCAAAGGACATTTATTCCTGATGAAATACACAGACAGTGCTGTAGTTGATCGTGTTCTTGTGCATGAGGACAGCTGGATAGAATCCTGATTGCATCTCTTGTAAGAATCGTTTTTTAAGCTGAAAGAAGTGGAGACTCAAGCTGTGAGCTGGAGATACAGCGTGAAGCACTCATGCGCTGAGAGAGAGCGACCTCACTTTCCATTTCTGAAGAAAGCGGAAACAGAGGTGAAAATCCCTCTGCACTCCATAAACACTCTCAGAAAGAGCAGCAGGCGCTTCTGAATGCACTCAGCAGTCCTTTATCCAAAGCTCTGTTCATAAACCTGCTGTGACTTTACTTCAGAAGTGCATTCACCACGAACAGGCTCTGTCCTACACAATCATCCTGCCAGTATATCACATATATTAGTATCTTACACCTACACAGTTACTGTAAGAACGCATCAGTATTCATCGCCATTTGATAGATGGACTTTCTGCATGAGTTTTGTGAGGTCTACACTTGCTTTTGCATCATTTGTCTCGGTAGAAGCTCATCTGTTATGCCTGTAATGTTGCTTCCACTTCAGCATTAATTAATAATTATTGTATTTTTAATATAAATTTTTTATAAATATGTAATATTTATTTTTTTACATTATTATCAAAATTACAATATGGCTTAGAGTGACTACCAAATCAAAAAGACTGCAATTTATTTAAATAATAATTTGATTTAAATAGTAATAATAATAATAATTATTATTATTATTATTGTTATTATTATTAATAATAATAATACTAATTACTATTATTATTACTATTATTTAAATAAATTGTAGCCTTTTTGCAGCATAATAATAAAAATTATATTAATAATAATTATTATTATTATTGTTATTATTAATAATTATTGTATTTTTTTATATATTTTTTATAAATACTTAATATATATTTTTAAATATTATTATCAAAATTGCAATATGGCTTAGAGTGACTACCAAATCAAAAAGACTGCAATTTATTTAAATAATAATTTGATTTAAATAATAATAATAATTATTATTATTATTATTATTACTATTAATAATAATAATAGTACTATTATTATTACTATTATTTAAATGGTAGCATTTTTGCAGCATAATAATAATAATATATATATTTTTTCATTTTTATTAGTTCTTTTAATATATTTTTTATAATTTTCTTTTATTACAGTTTTAGTTTTTTAACATCAAGTAAAACTAAAATGAGAAATGTGGCATTGGTAACTAGCTGAAATAAAATAAATGACACATTTTTATATAATTTATTTTATTTCAGTTCAATTATTTTGAGAATTTTTATAAGTATCTGGTTTTCGTTTTTGTTACAGGAAGCTTGATTTTGTAGAAATAATTTAATATGCTCGCTAATTTGCTTTATCGTATAATAACACCAAACACACTCTCTCAATCAAGCCTTCAGTCGAGTCGGGTTTGTGTTGTGTGTGTGTGTCCAAGCTGTTGGCTGTTTACATGCATCAAATGGACAAGTACAACAAAATCAAACCAGGCCATTAGCAGAACGCCACTAATAGTGTATCATCAGTTTGTGTATAGGAGCAACATGCAAAGGATGCTGAGAAATTGCTCACTCACTTTTGCATAAAAGGCACATCTAATAAATCCACTGCGGTGCTTTGTGCATCTGTAACCCTTCCTAAACAGATCCAAACAGAACACAAGAGAGAAGCTTGCGCTGATATTTCAGTATTTGTTCCCCTCATAAAAGAATATTAGGCGAGGCAATGACCATGTTTACAAGCTCCCTCTCTTGCTCCTCAGACAAAAGCCTTAGCCTGCCTCCACCAGGTGGTCGTCTCTGTGTCCTACAA